AAGATTTGAGAAAGATCGTAGAAACATCGGCAAGATACGTTTCAGAATTATAGATTTTCAGACAGTCAGTGTGACGAATTTTGATTCGAACTAAGTGCTTGAAATAACTGTTTTATTATACTTTGTTGCATAGAATTATAATAAATAACATAATTATTATAAATAAAATATACTTGATAGCCATGAAGCCTTGAAGCCAATAATTTAGCATGTTTCATATATGTATACATATATGCTAATCAAAGATACTATTCTCATCACGTATTAACAAATACGTATTAGATCTGTGGCTTTAATTAGAAATATGATTTTATAAGGAAAACTAGATTTGATAGTGGCCCCGATGTTCGCAAATGCATGTCTTAACTCGTTTGTGAAGAGAATATCGAATGCCTACTCCGAACCCATGGGGTTTGTCAAATGTCCTTTGCCGTATTTTGAATAGATTCTTTTAGTTCCTCTAGGGCATTACCACGTATTCGATATACTTATGAAACAATTTTATTGCAAAAAAACAACGCTATTGCGACGACTAAAAACATGCTACAAGAAACTTTTAATTCCTTTCAACCCTATAAAAACCATTTTTTAGAATTTTTCAAATATCTATTACTATCTCAAAAATTGATTTATCTTAATTTTTTTACTTTTCGATAAAAATCGAAAATTTCATTAAAAAAATTATTAGAAACTTTGACATTTTTTGCAAATTCTCTTAAATTTTTCGTTTTCTATAAATTTTTTTTTAATTCGACGTATTTTTCATAATACTTTTAACGATGTAGGTAGAACCTCAAATTTTCAAAAAATAATAATAAATGAAATGAAATCTTCAATGTTTTTCAAAAGAGTAAAAAAAGAAATAAAAGATAGTTCTGAATATTTTTTTATATATATTTTTGAAAACTACATATTAAAAAAATAGAAAATAAAAAAACCCCACTCTAAAAATTTAAGAAAATTTCATAGAATTTTCAGATAATATCAATGTTTTTAAAAGCCCGCTGTGTCCAAAAACGAACAAAATAACAATTTTGTTATCAAAATAACAATTTCTTTCGATGATTTCACTTTTTTTTCAAACTTTGTACATCCTCAAAAATCCCCAGGGTGATATTAGAAAAAAATGAGCTGAGTTTTCAATTGAAAAACAATTGAAAAAGAAAAAAGCCACTTGGAAAATTTGCAAAAAATGTCAAAGTTTCTCATAAAAAAAATAAAATTACAATCATCGGATAATTTAAAAAAAAAAGTTAAAGATCGGTCTGAATAATAAATAAAATTTAATTAATAAAAATGCATCATTCAATTTAACTTGTAAAAGCGTAATTAAAAATATTTTTTTTATTTCTTTTGTGTTAGAAGCTGGAAAGACTTGCATCAAAACTATTTTAATAATAAAAACATTGTTTACGTTTAGTTATGCAACATTTAATATATTAATTAATTAATATTATGGTTGAATAAAACAGCACTCTGTATGCAAAGTTAAAAAAATATGTTATTGTAATTGAATTCTGATCAAATTCACAAAGTTAATCGTTAATTCTCTATTTAAATTCAAAATTTAATTAAAATAATGCTTATTATCTCTCTTTCTTTGAACTGGTATTTATTTTCAGATTTTGATTTAACTAATGATTAACAATGCTTGTTTTGCCCTTTTTATCATTCAAGCCATTTTCATTTCTTTTGTGCCTGTGAGCAGAATACTTTTATTAAGAATTTTTTTATTAAATTAATATGTACAAATATATATATATATATATATATATATATACATTTACAGGTTTTTATTTTAAACAACCTATTATAATTTTGTATTATTCTGAAAAACATTACTTTGTATTTGTCCTAGTACGGTTTCCAGTTTGTTTTAAAAACATATCAAGAAGCTACGCTCGTGCATAATTACAATCGTAACTGAAGTTTATAAAAGTTATGTTAGATAAAATTTTTATAATTTTTTCTTATATTTTATACACAGACATAACGTGGAAAATTGTTCAAGCTAAATTTAATATACTAATAATAGTGGATAGATAATCCAGCGAAATATAATTAAAATGTTTTGTCTATCTATAAATATTAAATATACAAGGGTTTTTTGTGTCGAAATACCAATTACATATTTTTTTCAGGATTATAACAAGAAGCTTATATACTGGGATATTTTTTTCCTTGTATGATGTCTTAAAGAAAAATAATGCGCAATAAAATAACAAAATGAAAAACTTCAGATGACAACCTTTATTTACTACCTGTTTTTCTTTTATTATTGCATCAGTTGTATTTTCATTTTTATCCCAATTTAAATTACAAAGAAAGCCACACAGGATGTGGGGCATAATAATTTGTGTTAACCCCTGTATAAATTCTTCATTGTGTAAGGAATTTATACTTAGTCTTAAAGTATTTTAAGTATTTTAAACATTGCAAAAAAAATTTGCCTTCGCAAATAACTCTAACAACTCTGTTTAATTAATTAATTAATAAAATTTGTTTTTTATTTTAAATCATCCAGATTTTTTGTCTGACTTAAAACAAGGGGACTAAATATTTTTAGGTTATTGTCAGTATAACACGATAGAAAACCCTATGAATCTTAATATTTGGATACCCCTGCTTGGTGCTGACTGTCACGTTGTTCACCTTTTGGTGTCTACTGTGTGTATGTATACAAAATATACCGTGCTTTGCGTTTTAACCACGACCGAAAAACTTTAAATTTAAACAGCAACATAAGAAAAACCTTATACTTCACAACAGTTTACCCAAATGTCTTGGATTTTTTTCTGAAACTCGTTTATACATTCGGAAGAAATACTCTTATTTTTATAAAGTTAGACTTAAGGGGAAAGTTAAAGATAAAAGAGACGGATTTTTTAAATTAAATTTTCCCTTTTCATTTTGCTATGTTTATGCTCCAAATACATCGCCAAATTGATAAAATCCCGATGATAAACTGTTTGGGTTTACCGCCTGAAAAACAAAAAAATACATTTAATTAAAGGCACAATAAGGATTAAAGCTACTTTACGTTCGTCATTTTTGGGATTATTTTTAATTTAAAGCCACTACATTTAGCACTAGTTTAAAATATACTTTTGATTCCAAATAACTAACAGGTTATTAAATTTAATCATTTACGTGTTGTTTGTGCTATACCTGTAGGTTAAACCAGTATATTTTTTACCTTGCACATTGTTAATAAACATATGATATTTTTCAGAAAATTTTGAATATAAATGAGTAATTATTTTTTAATACTTACTTGTAACGTCAAAAATTTATATGCATATATTTTTGTAGTTTTTGAGTATACATGCATATTTTTAAAATTCAGGCATTCACTTTTAAACATCATTGTGCAAATCCACGCAAAAATCTTTGGGATTGGGTTGTGGGTTTTTTAAATTGATTTTAAATCCTGTTGAATAAAACAATTTAGTTTCGTGTGAGCAAACGGTATTATATTTTTTAATTGATAAATTGGAATAAACAGCGGCATTTTTATATTAAACGACGGCTGACAGAAATGATAAATACAAGGGAAATGAAATCTGATTTTTGTTATTTTACGTTGAACTCGAGGTGTAGCTATGACAAATTTTGTTATTTCGCCTTTATGTATCCCGATCCATTTTACGAATCGAAATTGAATTTTTGCCCGAAAGTGTAAAGAAATCTGAGTCAAAAAATTTAGGAATTAATTAAACAAACATTAGTAATTTTTTTGTATGACGTTCCCTTTAGTTTAACGTTTCTACTGAATTTAACTGCACAATATATCGGTCAAGCACGAAATTAAAATTGTTTATTTTTCCACTCTAAATGAAAATATTCCTATCAAGTTCAAACAAAAATATTTAAAATTCAATGTGGCCATTTGCTTTAACATTGTTAACCTAAATCGTGTTTTTTCCAATAATCCTTGTAATAACCCATTTAAAAAGTCACGTGTTGCATTTAAATTTTAATAAAAAAAAATTTGTGGCAAGTACAATGAAGGTAACCATTATTTTAAAATATTTATCAAGCTATAAATATGAAAATTGTTGTGAAGCGCTTTAATTTTTTGCCGGTGGTTACATACAATTTTATAATTGTATAAATAAAATTTATTTATTTCTGGGTAAATGTATTTTAAAGCTTGATAATTTTCCGCCATAAAATAACAATAATTGTTTTTTTAAACGAAATTTTCGAAATTTTATTAGTATTTGTGGGGTAATCGAACATAATGAATTACGTCGTAAACGCATATTAAGTAGATACTATGGCACATGTAATTGATTGATATCAAAACTAAATTTGATATAGCAAGCCTAACAAACAATGTATATTATTATTGGCCGAAATAATTATGAAAACATGCCTAAACGACCCAATAATCAAGCACAAACATTACCATTAATTCGGTTAATTCCTGACTTAAGCCCAAAATTATTTCCGCAAATAAAATTCTTGAAAATGAATTCCACCATTCTGTTCTGGCAAAACTATAAAGAAAACTGTATTACAGCTTAAATCGTAAATTGTTTGATACATTAAGCGTCTTTTTTACTGCCATACACTAAATAACATATATAAATTTCTTCTCCCTTCTGAGCCCTTTTCATTTAACTTCTGAAACTGCAAATGAACAAACACTAAACATTTCAGATAGATTCGGCGGAATGTTTTAAGAAATAACTATTTACACACCATAATAACACTCTTTATATTTACTGCGCACACAATAACCATTTATAATAATAAACTGCGCATAATGTACATTTTTTTGGATATTTTTTCTTTATAACTTTGTTTATGGTAAGTATTAAAAGCAACAGAAAGCATCGATTTATATTTATGTTAGTAGTTTTGATTAATAAAATTTCAGCAAATGGATGGTAGTCATGCCATTATCGACTAGGATAATCATTAAATATTTTATTAGCAATCTGTTATCAAACCAAACTATTGTTTTGTTAGTGAAAATAGATTAAGATAATCACCTGAACCCATTGTTCTTTGCATTTCTTTTAATGTTTTATAGCCCTCTTCTCTGGCTGGCTCATCCCCAGCCAAAGCCTCTGTAAACAAAAAAAAACATAAAAAAATAATAAAAAGAAACATTATTTTAATATACAGATAAATTAAAAAAATAATGAACGTTTAATCGTACAACACGCTTAAAATTAAAACTTCTTCGCAGTATTCACAATTACACCAGGAGAAAGTGATTAAATTTGTTAAAATAATTTACAACAGCGAATATTTAATTTTAGATTCGGGCAGTTTTCAATTACCCGAAACATAATTTTTTTATGTGCAGTTTTCAATTACCCAAAACATTCATTTCAATTTTACAAAAATATTAATAATAATAATAATAATAATAATAATAAATGGTAAGGGCAGTTTTAAATTATTCAATTTTGTTTAAATTGGGCAAATTTCAATTACTCGATTTTAAATTAATTAAAGGTAAAATGACCCTTATTTCAATTACCCGAAACATTAATTTTAATGGGCTGTATTTAATAACCCGGTTTTATATAATTTAATGGTAAGAACAGTTTTCAATTATCCAATTTTGATCGAATTTGAGCAGTTTCGATTACCCGAAACATTAATTTTAATTTTTAATATTTAATTACCTGGTTTTACAATTAAATGGCAAGGACAGTTTTAAATTATTTAAATTTGTTCAAATTGGCCAGTTTTCAATTACCCAAAACATTAATTTCAATTACTGGATTTTAAATTAATTAAAGGTAAAATGACCCTAATTTCAATTACCCGAAACATTAATTTTAATTTTAATAACCCGGTTTTATATAATTTAATGGTAAGAACAGTTTTCAATTATCCAATTTTGATCGAATTTGAGCAGTTTCGATTATCCTAAACATTCATTTTAATTTTCAATATTTAATTACCTGGTTTTACAATTAAATGGCAATGACAGTTTTAAATTATTTAATTTTGTTCAAATTGGGCAGTTTTCAATTACCCAAAACATTAATTTCAATTACTCGATTTTAAATTAATTAAAGGTAAAATGACCCTTATTTCAATTACCCGAAACATTAATTTTAATGGACTGTATTTAATAACCCGGTTTTATATAATTTAATGGTAAGAACAGTTTTCAATTATCCAATTTTGATCGAATTTGAGCAGTTTCGATTACCTGGTTTTACAATAATAATAATATTAAATGGTAAGGACAGTTTTAAATTATTTAATTTTGTTCAAATTGGGCAGTTTTCAATTACCCAAAATTAAATTACTCAATATTAAATTAATAAAAGGTAAAATGACCCTTATTTTCAATTACCCAAAACATTATTTTAATGTGCAGTTTTTCATTACATTGTTTTAAATAAATTAAATGAAAACTGACTCTTATTATTCAATTCTATTTTTATTTGGGCAGTTTTTAATTAGCCAATTTTTTATGCAAATTATTTAATTACTCCGATTTAAATAAATTAAATGCAGTTTTCAATTATCCAGTTTTGTTCGAAATTGGGTAGTTTTCATTTACCCGAAACATTAATTTTATTGGGCAGTATTTAATTACCCGGTTTTATATAATTTAATGGTAAACGCAGTTTTCAATTATTAAATTTTGTTCAAATTGGGCAGTCTTCAAATACCCAAAACATAACTTAAATTTAAGGAAGACAGTGAGAAAAGGCGTGGAAAACAGAACATTTTTTAAGGCAAATGGACTTGCGTGTGACAATAAGTCCACTTGAGCTGGCAAATATTCTTTTGACGCATATCTGGAATTGCTTCCAATGGGAATTAGAACAAACAAGAAACACAACCTCTGTCAATCGTCCACTTAGCTATTTTGTAGCTTGCTCCCTCTGGGTCGAATGCTCGGCCACGTAACTTGAATTTGTTTTTTTTACGGCAACACCCAAATTTATTTAATTTTATCTAAAAGGATCAAAAAGCCTTTGTTTCATGATACGTTTAAAAAAAGTTCCTGTCGTTTTTTGGAAGCTGTAAAGAATGAATAATTATTATTTTAAATGGCTTGAGCCTTTCAATTACTTTGCTAACTTGCCGAAACTTTTCAATTTTAGCTTTAACATAAAATTTAATATTCCAATAAAGCAATAAGACAAAACCTAGAGCTTCATATTTTCGCATTCCTGTTCAATATTGCTTTCAAGTTTTTTCCTTCCTTTTACTCTGTGTAACATGTTTAATTTATAATATTCTTTTGTTTAAACTACAATTAAGTCATGAAAATCTATTGCACGTAAATCTCTTCTTCTGCAGCAAAAAAGAAAATAATACCATAAGCGCATTAAATCGAGTATAAAAATATGCTTTATATATAAGAGGTTTCCAACACAACAGTACAAAATGAAACATTACCTCGGCATTACATACTCGGCTTATGTTAAACAAACTGCTCAATAAGTACCCCACTTTTTATACAATTTTATACAACATAAAATTTTTATGGAATAGTAAATAAATAACAAAAAATAAATTAATGCAAATATATCAACCTAATAACTTTTGAGTTAAAGTAAATATGATATTAAACAAAAACAGGTCGATTTAGATACCGAAGTACAAATCCAGTGTAAAACAAATTTTATGTCGCACCCTCTCACCTCTAGCTACCCTTACTACCTTGCGACATCATTTTAATGGAAATTCAATTTCCGATCCATTTAAGATAAAAAAAATTAAAATCCGATCACGGATTTGCAAGGTACAGCCAAAAAAGGTGTGATATAAAAAAACCAAGAATTCCATAAAAAAATATTTTTTCTACTCTCACCTTTAAAACGCCCTAGTACATGTTTCCATGACACTAAGTGACCTTTTAAATACACATCGAAAAGTTGTGGCTTTATGGCGCTTTAGTCACGGGCTGAAGTTAGCAACAGGTTTTTAGTCACGGGATGAAGTTAGTTTTAAGTTAGTTGACAGTTGTCAGATGTCATACAATCGTTAAAATAAATTGCCTTTCTTGTAAAATAATACTAAATGTGAACATTATTTTATTATCTCAATACAAAAATACAAAAGTGATAAATAGTTTCTCAACGCCAATATTTGAAAAGTTTATATGAACATTGTAATGACCTTTTAATTTCGCCCCTATTGTTTCATAGATGGCGCTCTATACAAATTTTTGATTTAAATCATTTTAAGATAAACTTTTCTATACACTCATTAATTTAAGAACTCCCTCACAAGCTCGCACAAATTATGAGTTTGTACATTGGATTGTTTTTCAAATATTAACAATTTTTAAAAATATCATATACAATGTATCGCCTTGTATCTCGGATATTTTTAACATTTTACTAAGGCATATTTGTGTTAATCTCCTACTTCTACAGTTTCTGTATTTTCATTAGTTATGGGACACCCTGTATATTTTATTTATTTCTTTTTGATGGGAATTTAATTAATATCAATATTTTATTTCGTTTCTGGAAAATAGCTATTTACTGACGCAGAAGCGTTCTACGAGTAGATAGGTATTTAATGTTTTTATATGCGTTGAAAAACGTTCAATAATTTTATTCATTAAAAAGAGTTGGCTGTTTAATCGAGAGCGTTTTCCTAATTACAAATAGCTATGTAACGTTTAATGAAATTACTTTTTTCCCAGCGTAACTAAATTAGCAAGTAATCCCATTAGTTTTTAAAAGTAATTCAAATGGTAATGCATTATAGTAAGTGCTTAGCTCTGCTGGTACATAAGATAATAAATAAAGTATCACTATCACCCCATAAAGCTGAAAGTTTTTGTTATTACCGAATTAAGTGAAGTGTGCACGCTAAAATCCATAATGAAAAATAAGGTATAAATCATCACTTTCTCTTAAAAAATCCAAATCGATAATTTCAAGTTTTTAAAGTTGTGAATATCTGCTATTCAATATCTTTAAAGGATTTATTCATGCAAAACGAAATGCATACAAGCCAAAGTATACTATCAAGATGGTTTTCCTGCATTGAAAATTCACAGAGCTGAAGGGATTGATTTTTAAGGCCCCAATAATAACACATAATAACTTAACAATAATACTATTTATTTAATTTGACAGCTATTGTAAGCACCATTATAATTTTAGATAAAGGCTTCAATTCATAAAAAACGATTTTTCTATAATAATCTCACACCAGATATAAACGTTTTAAGAACAAAATCTGTTGAATGAAAGAAAGATTTTTAATAACGACGTTTCGACTGGTACATACCAGTTTTCTTTAGGTAAATAAAGAATAAGTTAAGTGGCTACAGGTCTTTTTATATTCAAGCCGGATGCACTGGAGCATCCCGGTGTTACGAGTATGGTACACTATTTTTTTTTAGAATTAAATATATAAAATTCTAAAAATAACAAGCAAAAACAAAAACTAAAAGATATAAATAGACCTGTAGCTACTTAACTTATGGATTATTCACCTGAAGACGAAAAATACCAAGGAAATAAAAGTCGAAAACATACTACAAATACTAAATAATAACTGTTTTGAGGATTTGCATTTTTCAAGCAGGGCAAAACTGATGCCATTGCAATAATAGTGATAATACTAGAGAATCTAGATCGTGCACTTTTAATATTAGTTTTTGATTTATAATACAAATCCTCCAGTTAGGTGGAACCTATTTCAATAACTCTGAAACTAGATATTCTCGAAACGACTTCTTCAAATACATAGAAAATGGTAATTACGCTTTTTACGGCTTTTATAGCGTCTTTTAATTAAATTAAAAATCGCATCCATTATACTAATTCTTTTATGTATTATCATATCAAAGGGTTTACAAGCTTATTAAGGGCCGGCTTTGAGCGTGAGCTTGTTGAAAAAAATCACGGGGCCTTTATAAACCTGGAACGAAAAGAACAGCATTCTGCTAGGTTTAAAACTCCTTTAATGTGGATCTAAGAAAAAAAAACAAAAGCATAAAAGTTTAAAAATGCATTCCGTTTACGAGTTAAGAAGGCTGCCTGCATCTGTATAGTTCAAGTAAGTACAAAAGGTCTACATTGTCCGTAAGGGGATAAAAAGGGTTATCAAAGTTTATTTTAATTTTCTCGTCCCTTTTCCCGACAATGCCTAAAATAATTCAATCGGGTAAAAAATTAAAATAACAAAGGGACAAGAAACTGCGAATCATGTTTAGTGCGAGGTGTGGATATGTAAAGAAACAAGCCAAGAGAAATGCGTCAGATAGCTACATTAGTGTGTCCCTTATTTTTTATTTTTTTACGCATACCCTCTAATTATATTTATTACGTGTTTATATACTCCCAGTAAAAATTTCAGCTCATTCTATAAACGGGAACCCGTGCCGACTTGCATCTGAACCCTCCGTGAGCCAACGTTAGGCGCGCGGTATTTTGTAACACGGTTGGCCGCGAGGTCTTCGATCGTAAGTCATTTTGTGTTTGTTATTATGTGACCCTTATATTATAAATTATTGACAAATATTAAAATATAGTTTTATTTATGTGTATACTTTGATAAAAATGTATATTTTCACAGGGAGTGGACAGTTACCCGGAAGGGTCTAGTGAATATGCCGTAAACTCTGAAATTGATAAACTTAATGGGATTTACTCTAAATAACTAAAAGGGTCTATTGTGAGAGATGACTACCGAAAACTGTCTGAAATATTTTTGGGAGGACATCAAGAAAAGAAATGCTTATAAAAAGCTGAAATTTCATATAACAGTATATTTTAGCAATACTAATTAGTATACTAATATATTTAAGGGATAAAATCAACTAATTTTTTTTGGTTATTTTTTAGCTGTCATTCAGATATAATAAAAAAAAGAGTTTCGGGTAATTAGGTTTACGGCCTATTCACCCGACACTTCCGGGTAACTAGCCAATTCCTGTAAAAATATTCATTTTTATTAAAGTATACACATAAATAAAACTATATTTTAACATTTTTTAATAATTTATAATATAAGGGTCACATAATAACAAACACAAAATGACTTACGATCGAAGACCTAGCGGCCAACCGTGTTTCAAAATACCGCGCGCCTAACGTTGGCTAATGGAGGGTTCAGATGCAAGTCGGCACGGGTTCCCGTTTATAGAATGAGCTGAAATTTTTACTGGGAGTATATAAACACGTAATAAATATAATTAGAGGGTATGCGTAAAAAAATAAAAAATAAGGGACACCCTAAGCTACATACATACTGTGATTTATAACTAGCACGTTTAACAGTAGTTGGTACGTAATTTCTCTCCCAGTTTTACTGATTTTTTTTTACATATATATATCTACATATTCGTTACCTAAGCTTAGCCTGGCACGAATGAAAAACAGCAAGGATTTCATTATAATTCACTCGTCGTGATTTTTTGAGCGATATAAAAATTTTCATGTGACAGAAAAAATATTATTTTTTTATTATAATAAATTACGTTTCATAAAAGCCAAGAGTTTTTAGGTATTGGAGTGTATGTAAAAAGTAATGCGGAAGTTTAAGTGAGCAAGTTTTAATTAATCTTCAACTTGGTATACACCTGACTTTGTGGTTGGTTCTATTAAATTTCATTTAAAACAATTTGCTAGGGTAAATTTCAAAAGAAAAGTTTTATGCGATGTGAATTGACCAATTATACCGTATTTTCATGTTTGGTGTATACAGCTGAAGCATCATATTTCAATCAATTGGTTATCTTATCACACCCGATATTGTAAAATTAATTTTCTAACTCAAAGTTATACTATCTTTAAACGAATTATTTAAAAAATTGTACAAAAGACTAACATTTATTTTTGATATATTTTTAACAACAAATTTCAACTGTTTTCTTGACAATATTGTGCAATCTTACTGTTTACAACAAATTATAGAAAATTTACTTAAACAAACTAATTAGAAAAACCAATCCAACTACACTCACAGACAAAATAATCAATACACAAATTTTCGATAAATTTCAATCGCAAATAACTTTTTTATTTGATTTCGGATTTAAACAAATATTAAAGAATATTGTAGATAAATTAATGGAGAATCGCTCACATTTTAAAAATTACTAAAAATACACGTACGTTTATAATATACAGGTTTAAACAAAAATATGTTTTTTACCATATGTTTAAGACACTCTGTAGAGTGGCAAAACCGTATATTGTTCTAAATTAAGTTTTAATTATCAAGTCACATCTATTTTTAACAGTTTTGTTTTTGGTTCACCTTGATATATTTATTTTTGTGGAAAATATGGATTTTTTTTTAAAACATTGCAATTTCCAATATTTTTCCTGTATGAAGAACTAACGTTGCTATGGTCCATCCATAGCCTATGGAGGATGACAGTGACAGTTTTGTTGAATCATCCCATACTTGGACATGTCATATACATCTTTCAAAAGCTATCAAATTGTTTTTTGTAAATTAATGTGTTAATTTTGTGGTGTCTTCTCATTTTTAAAAATGTCTCCAACTAATATTGCCCTTTGTACTTCTTGTGACGTTTAAATTACTTGCCACGTAATACTGTGACCGTCCATCATGGATTAAATTAATGGCTCTGGCAACATCAGTCGGAGACATATCCATTTTTAAAGTAAGAAGACACCTCAAAATTTAAACATTAATTTGCATAAAACAATTTGATAGCTTTTGAAAGCCGTGTATGACATGTCCAAGTATGGGATGATTCAACAAAACTGTCACTGTCATTCTCCATAACCTATGGATGGACCATAGGAACCTTAGTTCTTCATACAGAAAAATATTGGAAATTGCAATGTTTTTTTAAAAAATCCATATTTTCCACAAAAGAAATATATATAGGTGAACCAAAAACAAAACTGTTAAAAATATATGTGACTTGATAATTAAAACTTAATTTAGAACAATATACGGTTTTGCCACTCTGCCAGAGTTTAAGACACTTATGGTAAAAAACATATTTTTGTTTAAAACTGTATATTATAAACGTACGTGTATTTTTTAGTAATTTTTAAAATGTGAGCGATTCTCCATTAATGTATCTACAATATTCTTTAATATTTGTTTAAATTCTAAATCAAATAAAAAAGTTATTTGCGATTGAAATTCATCGAAAATTTGTGTGGATCGATTATTTTATTAATTTTTTTTGCAGCAGAAAAAATCAAAAGTTTCTTAACCGCATCCATCAAATTTTCTATTAATTCAATGGCCATTAAGTGCTATTGTAGACGTGAAATGCAAGTGTTTAATTAGATGTAGGTCAAAGGACATGATCCGGCTGAGGGATTCCTTTCCCTCGCACATGGTTATATTAATTGCTCTTGTTCGATCTAAAGCCAAATTTTACCCCCTATATAGAAACAATTTATGCCAAACCAGACCGAAGTGTATCGCCACCTTACCTTTACGACTCACCTTTAAATTAACACCAATCCAACCGAATAAGCTTCCATCAATGGCCATCATTATTTTGAATTGATTTATTCTTAAGGTAGTTACATTTAGCTTAACTGGGTTGGGAGACCCCTTAAATTATGATAATTTCGTAATTCAAGTTAAATGAAATAAATGGGGAATTATAAAAAAGCTGCCTTTGGGCTATTGATTTTTATTTATGAGTTAATTTTGAGGTAATCGTCTTAAAATTGATTGTACAATATAATGGCATTTTTTTTTCAATTTGAATGAAGTTAATGAGGGTTTAATTTTTTCTTTGCCTTTATATTTGGTTGATTTATTGTCAAAGTTAAATTAATTTATTAAATAAAGCAAAATTTGAAACATGTATAGGGTATTTTATGTTTGTTAGGGTACTTACTACTTTTATAGCTTTATTCCCTATAAATCAACAACAAAGTATATTATTAATGACACATGCACCCTTTGTCCGGTTAATTCGACTCGCTTAGAAAAAAACTACTTAATTAACTTTTCTAATTTGGTTTTTATACTTTTACAAAACGACCGAATATAACTTCTAAAGCCGCTGCTAACAAAACCCCGTCCATTATTCTTTCCTACATACATATTAATTTTATTTCTTTATTTATGCATAAATAGCTGTATAACCGCAACTTTGCTCGCGTGGCTCCAAGGAAAAAAAATATATAAAACTTTCTTTGTTTGTCCTGTTTCAAGGTACAAGAAACCAAATTTCGTCAAAATCCGTTCAGCCTTTAAATACTTTCAAAACTGGCGAATGCGCCGGGATTTATTAAAAAATTGTTGAATGTCTAAAAAAATTATTTTTTGACAATTATCACAAACAAAAATCGTCTACTTTTAAATAAATACTGAATTGAAAATGAAAATGAAACACACTGTATATAGAAAAGCAATTTATGTGTAAAGATTGGTTTGGTCAATCAGCGAGAAATAAATATCCTTAATTTGATGACGTAATTGAAAAGCAAATAGACGTTAAACAGAATTATAGTTGTTACAAGTCGAATTGACATGATAACAAATTCTATTTTCCTGTGTAACTAAAATAATAGAGCTTATTTTTAGATTTTAGCAAGACCTCTAGTCTTAAATTGATGTAATTTAAATCCCGATAAAAATAGACAACCAGATGTCTATATAAGCGCTCGAAAACCTCCAAATAAATCAATTTACTCCAATAAAATACAAATTTATCGAGTATATTAATGCGACTCGACTTACCCACTACGTTCAAGTTGACAAAATAGCTTCTGACCGGCTGGGTACTGATCTGACACTCGTAAATACCGGCGTCTCGCTTTTGCGCCCATTTCACCTGCAAAGTCCACTCATCGGTTTCAGCGTGGTGATTCGCCTGGAATCTCTGGTCGCTGGTATAAGTGTAGCTGCCAACTGTCAAAATGTGGATGTCTCGGTGACGAATCCAAGACACCTGAAAAAAAAAATTATTATTTTTTTTTTATTATTTTTAATGTGCTTCCAACAGGCACCAGGCCCAATTACAGGAGTACGCACACAAATAAACATCCATACCCCTGGTGGGATTCGAACCCACGACCTCTCGGCTTGTAGTCCGCAGTGCTGACTCCTACAACACCGAGGGCGGTCATACATTACAATTCATTACAACTCAATTACAAAAATTACAAAATAAATTTTACAATTTTACTGAACTGAAGAAAATTCAGTTCAATTGTAGTAATTTTACAAACATTTTAACAGTGTAACAAGAAATTTAAATAATAATAATACTTCGGATTTATTGCACATTTTGTATCAATTACATCACCAATTAGCCATAAAAACCATGATGACGTTAAAAACTAGGAAATGACGGATTTAGAACCCCTGAGGTCATGGGACACATTGTGGTCTTGATTTATTTATTAGCGTCATGCGGTGTAATTACCTAGTGCGACACGTGCTATTCAATCCTGCAACTAAGTTTTTGAACAAGTTTATAACTAACTATTATGCTTCTACGTCATTATAAAGACAGCTACTGGCCACATTGTAATCAGTTATAGCTTAACATGGCCTTGCAATTAATCAAAGACTTTTCCTATTTAATTATCAAGAAGCCCAACAATAGCAGCCCGGTCTTGATCGAACTCTCAGCTTGAAAGTTTATCGGAAAGACAAAATACAGTGAAGCCGGAGTAATAAAAAGACAGAATATCATTACCCTATATTGCAACTGAATAATTCAGCCAGACCGAAGGTTATGGCAAATTCTAAGAAATTAAAGGCAACTGATTTATTTGCGTTATCCCCTCTGAACTCACCACCCTGCATGTAATAACTTGTCACCATTTGTTCAAGTTTGTTCTCTATCACTTTTGCATCAGGATACTGTTTTTAAGTAAAACAGCTGTCAACAATCGACAGCAATACCAATAAGAACCATAGTTAAACAACTGGCCGACTCTACTTCGTAGAATTCGATAATTCGCCACATGACTTTTCCAATCGTCACATTCTGACAAGAGGGGACCATTTTTAGCGTCACGAGATTTATGGACAACTTATTACAGTATTATAATATGTTTTTGTCAAAGAAAATTACTTACACGACTCATTTGAGAATGATGTTTTAAACAATTATTTTGGTTAAGTATTTTGGTAAGTAATTGATGTAGCTGTTTATTTTAAATATATTTGGGGGATACATCTAAACCTGCATTAATTTAAATTGTGTTTTAAGCAACATTCAGCTATATTTGTGCATTGCCACAGCTTGTAAGGAATAGCAACTGAAACGAGTAGTTCCTCATTTATGTTTATTTATACATATATGTATACAAATATACGTAGCAGTGTAGGATAAACCGACAATTGTGATATCGACTTAATTTAAAACTTAAACGAAATTAACATACAGCTGGAAGATGTCACTATTGGAAATAGTGGCATGGGGAGTTTTAATTAACATTTTAATCACACAAGTTTCAAACGGATTTAGGTACAGTATCAATTGGTTTTGTTACATAAACCCAATAAACGTTTCAACTTCTATATAATGATATATCGGGATTAACGGTAAAATTTTACTTCTCACACTTCTCCAGGATTATTTTTCCAAGCCATTTAGAGGATTTTTCGCTTTAAGAACAACTTCATTATTGGCCATTTCTTATACGCCCGCTAACTCAAATATTTATTTTAAATTCATCAATTTTAAAACTACCACTATATTATCAAAAAATTGATTTTATTACTTTAATAGTATATTATGTATCAAGTTTGATACTTATTATTACCTTAAAATGATTTAAATCAAAAATTTGTATAGAGCGCCATCTATGAAACAATAGGGGAATCTGTGTGTCACCGTCAAATGTCAAATTTTTGTATTTTATTAACACAGATTAAAAAGGTTATAAATCGAAATGTATTTCTTGAAAATTGACAGTTTCTCACAGTGAAAGTAAAGAAAATGTTTTATGAGGACTTTACAGTGGAGTCCGTGCCCAAATTTAAGTTTTAGTTTACTGAGGGCGAAATTAAAAGGTCGGTACAATGTTCATATAAACTTTTTAAATATTGGTGTTGAGAAACTATTTAATACTTTTGTATTTTTGTATTGAGATAATAAAATATTTTCACATTTAGTATTATTTTACAAGAAAGGCACTTTATTTTAACGATTGTATGACATTTGACAACTGTCATCTAACTTAAAACTAACTTCAGCCCGTGACTAAGACGCCATAAAGCCACAACTTGTCATAAAAATATGTACAATAAAGGGCGTTTTAAAGGTGGGAGTAGAAAAAAGTTTTTTTCTAAAGTATTCAATCCAAGGACCTATACCTCATGTATGGACCAATACGCATGATTTAAATCTTATAAAATATTTCTTGAAGAACTTCTTAAACCGAGTAAAATATTTCCCCAAGAAATATATTGAACAAAATGTTGTATACATAATACAATTTTTTTTTGAATTACTTAAGGTTGGTTGTAATTTGAAAATAATGTTTGGGGTGAATAAAAGAAGGTGTGCAGTTAAGTGCACTGTAAGGAAAGTAAATATACATATAATAGTGTTGTTTGATGATAACCTAGTTAGATAAATAAAAAGATTAATATTTAATGCTAGCTTAGAAACTGTGGAGTTCCACCTGTTTATCTTAAAGTGTTTACAAAGAAAATTCCGATTATCTACAAAGTAGTTATTTTAAAGTAAATGAGCTTTTATAGAAATGTATATCGACTACAACGGTTTCCGTTCTAAGTTTGTTTGAAATTTAAACAAGGCTATAACATTAAATGTTTATTAAATAAATTTAAGCAGTTTGCCATTTAACACGCCGAACTTGGCATGACAGGGTATAATTTCGAGCTGTAATTTGCTCTGATAAGAAACAAACCATGTCTCTAATAATCTATTAGGCTAATACTCTAATGAGCTATCAGCCGTATAGTTAGGTTCGTCGCAGGTTAACTACATCATTTAAGTTTGATTTATAAATAGCTCTAATTTGAGGCAGATGACATTCCCTTTCTTAAACTATATTCAAACACGATTAAGAAAACCCACGCCAAATTGTTACCTAATTTGTGTTTTTGTGCTTTAAGTCCTTTTAAAACAAAGGAGTTACATAAATGATTAAAAATTTAGGCTTTGGGGTAAAATCTGTATATATGTGTAATCCGGTGATAAATTTTACGTATTGCTTTTAAGGGATTAAAAAGAAAGTCAGCATTATTTTATTAAATTTCGACTAAAAAAGAATCATTACCCTAAAAGGGATTTGTACATACGGATTGGGTGTATCATGGATTTAAAAAAATACAAGCATATGCATATATGGGTGAATCTCACGAAATTTCCCCCGATGGTGTTACCCCGTGATATTTAATAAAACTAAATTAGTTTGACGTACACTTTTATTGTGTTTTAATCTTTCATAATTAAGTAGATATTACAGCTCAGGTTCCAGATTTTTAACCGCAATTAATTAGTTTTTACAATGTTTTAAAAGTCTTAAACCTATCCTATATGTTTGCAAATATATGAGGTAGTAAAATATATCAGTTCACTAAGTAAATTAAACACATCCAAAGCAATCGAATCAAATATAAAATATTATTAAAAATTAAAAGAAATAATTTTTATATACCATTTATGTAGGTGTTACAAAAATTGATTCTATCCTCCGTGAATCTGTTTTTGCTTTAAATTTTATTCAACGGATGGCCCTTTAATCATTTTAAATAAGCAAAAACCTCTGTTTACGACATTATAGATGCATGTGATTCCTGAAGGTCAGCTAGAATTTATATGCAGATGAGAGTGTTGCTGTTTTATAATTCAAAAGTTTAAGTTCATTAATTTGCTATTTAAAAACCTATCCACCGTGAAGTGTGAAATCTCAGTAAGTAGATTTTTTTTATAAATAATTTATGTATGTACATATAATTGTATTTTTAAAAAATGTTAAGGTGTCAAAAGATACAATAACTTATTTTAAATATACAAAGGGTTTAGAAAAACATACGAAATCCTAACCTCCGTAAAGCTCTAATATTCAAAATGTATGATTTCTTAAAATTCTTGCATTAGTGCAGAACCACTTATGTTATGATATTACTAGACCTGGTGGCTTCCCAAAAACCCCATTCTAGACTAACAGTGAAACAACCAAAAATAAAAAATAATAATTTTCACTTGGGGGACATCTCAATATATTCACCCATATATTTTGGTGGTTTTTGGTTATTAATATAAAAAGGCTGCTATAATTAATTAATCTAATTTAATCTAATTTACTTGCTTTGTAAGAGATTTATTATACTTAATACATGTATTGGCAATTTGATTTATTTCAATCAATTAATTAAACTAAACCGATAAAAGCAGAGTTTCATTACGAACAAAATTAACAAAAATATGTCAATAATTGTTTTATTTTGGCCCTTTGGCAAATGTTAAAATTACTGACTCAGCATTAAAATAAAATAGTTATGGAAATCGCACAATTGTCCGCTTTTGCATATTGTATTTTTTACATTTTACATGCTGCCGCAAAATACAAATATTTTCAGCAAAATACCTAACGTTGGCATGGTTTTTATTATTTCCTCAACACGGTTAAACCAAGCGAAAATCCTTTTTGTTATTAAAATTAAATTATTTAAAATTTAAATTTATTTTTCGGAATAAAGTCACATATTTATTAGGTTTAGAAATGAGTATTTTTGTACAAAAATTTAATTTACAATTCAAATTGTAAAATTTCTATAAGTATCTGACAAAACAAAAACATTGTAAAATTGGAACCTGTTTAGTACTTTGTCTATAACAAAATGTAATATTACAACAAATGTGTATTAAGATTGCAATACAATACAACATTTTGTAATTTTACTAGTAAAAATGTAGTAATTTTACAAACATTTTTAACAGTATACATTAAACGTGAAATT